CTGCGACCTTACTGAGCTGCCTACTCCACGTAAGAGCCCTAAGGATGGGAGGAGGGGCCCTCTCAAGCTGAGCAGGAGGGTCACAGAGGTGGACAGGAATAGCATCTCGTCCATTTATGTCGGCCCCATAGAGATCATGGGTGACCTTAGGAAGAGTAGTATTTGGAGAGTAGAAGGGAAGATTTCCGAGGTGGACTTCTGGGTGAGGAGGAAGCTGGAGAGGAGGCTGGCCCACCACAAGCGTGTTCTGTGGGAGAGACGGCAGACATCCCCTCCTCTCTGCCTTGCAGCTCACGGTTCTGGCCCCACTCTGCCCCAGCTGTTTCCTCAGTTGCAAACTGCAGACAGTAACCGGATGGGGGAGGCTGAGTGCCCCCAGGTCCCCAGGCCCTTTCCCTGGGCAGGCCAGGCTAGCCTTGGACCCTGCCTTCCTCCTGAGCAGCACCAACTCTGCCCAGTCCCCTGGTTCCTGCTCCCAACAAGGGCCCAATCTAATGCCTCGTCTGGATTCGAGGCTCTTGGCAAACTGACCCCAGCCTCCTCTTCCACGCTGGCCTCCTGCCGCTCCTGGTGACTTGTTTGGACGGCAGCAATTGGGGTGGGGGGAAGTGTAGGGGACCTTTCCACAACCCCTTTCAGGAAATGCGGACCTCGTGCCGGGCAGAGTTACTTCATGGGTGCCCTCTCCTGTACCCACCCGCGTGGGCGTGTCCGCCTTGCGACCACACAGAGGCCGTGACCTCCTTCGCCTCGGCGAGGGGACTTTGTCCCTGTTTTTGTGGCAGACACTTCCATCCTGGCCAACGGAGCTGGGTCCAACTTCATGACTGGTATCTTTCCCCCTGGGCGGAGCAGCGACCGCCGTCCCTCGGGGCGGGGACTGACCCCGAGCGCCCCGTCCCGCCCCGCCCCGCGCGCCTGGCACCACCTTCCGGGGCGGTCCTGGCCCGGGCGCCGCGTTCCTCAACCCGGGCGGCGGGAGCGGCGGGCGATGGTCCTGCCCGCGGGGGACCGGCCGGGGGCCGACGCGACCCAGGCCCTGGGCGCGCTGTGGGACTACCGCGTCTACGCGCGTCGCTGGGTCTTTCTGCTGGTGCTCAGCCTTCTCAGCTTCTCCAACGCCACGGTAGGGGGTCTGGGGCCGCCTCCGTCTCCAATGCCCCGGTGCGGGGGTCTGGGGTCGCCTCCATCTCCAATGCCCCGGTATGGGGGTCTGGGGTCGCCTCCGGGCGGGGGCGGGCGGCCCGAGCTGGGACCCCGCCTGAGTCGGCGCGCTTCGCACCTTCCAGTGTCCCGCTGCACCCAAGACGGGGTCGGTGTGCACTATGGGACCGCTGGGAGTGGGGGCGCCGGCGACCTCAGCGCGTGGCCGTGGGACCAGAGGCCCTTCTCCCCGCTGTGGCTGCACAGGCAGTAAAGCTGGCATCTGTCCTCCAGGCGGCCCAGCCTGGGTCCTGTGACCTGTGGTGGTTTCGAAAGAGTCCCTCCATTCCTCAGGAGGAGGTGGGGGTCACTGTCATAGCTGGAGAGGGGTCTTCCTCCAGAACACCCAACGTCTGGCTACAGGCCTTCATGATCTGGCTCTTGCCCTCCCTCTCCAAACTCCCCACCCCAGTCTACAAGGCAGGCAGGGCTCAGCCGCCTTGCTTACCTGTGCCCTGGAGCCTTCACTGGGTTTCTGAGTCAGTATGCGGGACCCTCACAGGGGACCTTCCTTACCTGTGTGCACAGCCTCTCCACAGTTCCCCAGCTGGGGTCCCCAGTGACCCACTACCTGTTCTAGAATGGTTCCCACTGCTGGCAGTGACCCTGCCCTGGAAACCCACACAGAGCAGAGACCGGAGACCGGTTGAGCAGTGAGAACAGGGTCTCCCACTTACAGGGGCTCAGCTCCCCAACCTGCTTCTTTCCAGCTCACCCCTGAGCCCTCAGCTGTTCTGTGCAGAGGTTTGGGCCCCTCTTTCCCTAGCCCATCACGTACAGCGGGCTCAGTGGGGGTGAACTGAGTGTGGGCAGACACCTCAGGGAGGTGTCCAACCACTCTTGGATGTTATTCCAAACTGATCAGGGCCTTTTGCCTCTTTTCCTTGCTGACTGCGTGTGGAGAGCCAGCCCTGTGCTGGGACCAGGTGGCATCCATGGCCTGGGCTGAAGTCTGCTGTGACTCTGGAAACCTCTTTTCTCTATGGGACTCTGCACAGTGGCTTGTCGGCCAGGTGCTTCTAGCTGCTAGGAAGCCGGAGCTGGCTTTGGGCCCAGCGGTCTGAGGACACAGCCCCTAGAACTGCTCTGATGACTCTGAGAGGGGACGGGTATCATGAATGGCCTCGAGAAGTCCCTTGGACACTGAGGCAGTATCCTGCTGCACTCTCCTTTGGTCCACAATCTCCTTTGGTCCACAAATCGTTACGGAGCAAGCAGGACTCTCATCGGGAATTACGGTCCCTGCTCTGGTCACCACGATAAACACCGACCATGAGGCTAACCCCAGCCATGTCCCCTCGTGGACTTGTCTGCAGCCAGGTGACCACAGCTCTATGGTTCTGAGAGGGCAGTGTCAGAGGCAGGTGGAACAGTGTCTGGAGTGAGGTCTGGGTGGCCTCAGAGTGACCCAAGGAGACAGCCTCGTGGTCTGGGCAAGAGCCAGCACGTGGGGCATCTGTCAGCACACTCAAGGGATACAAGGAGGCACCCGGCAGGGCTGGAGTGGCCTGAAGGGAATTCTTGTATGCAGTGGAGATAAACTGTTGTCCCCATGTTGCCTTGCACAGTTTAGACCTGTCTCTGCCCTGCCAGCCACAAGCTTTGGGGAGGAGCAAGGAATGGGCTCGGCTCAGCAGGGCGGGTTTGGAGCACAGACCCCGCGGTTTGTCTTTGCTGGATCAGTTGGGCAGGAACAGGTCTTTTTCTGAACCTGGAAGATCTGTCCTCTGTTTTGTTCTAAAAAAGGGGGTGGAAAAGGAAGAAAAGGCAGCTGTTGCCCAAGTTCTCTGTCATGTGAGACTTTGTGGTCAATGTCTGTTTGGGTCAGCAAGCCTGGATCTCACTGGCCTCACCACGGAGGGTGTGGTCTGGGGCCAGCCCCTGCATTTCTGGGTCTCTCAGATTTGCAGTGATTGTGCACTTTGAATTGTGCTGCCCTTGTCTTTGGTCCATCCCTGGCCCATCTCCCCTCTCCCACCTGCAGTAATCCTTGGAGAGCCCCTCCTCCCCTCTTGCCTCACCCGTGCAGGGGTCTCAGCTCCGCCAGGAAGGTCAGTGGTCTTCCCCACTGACCCAGTCGAGCTTAAGGTCTTGCCTTAGGTCTGCTGGCCGAAGGTCTGTGGAGTTGAGTCCCAGCACTTGACAGCACCTACAGCTGGGAAATGTCACCTGTCAGGGAGGGCCTCACGTCCCAAACACCTGGGTCTCCTGTAGGACAGGTGGGGCTGGCTTTGGGCAGGGCCAGCGCATAATCCAGGTGTTTCCACCTGGGACTCAATCACTGAGTTTGCAGACAAGCTAGAGATACCTTTTGGGCCCCTTTCTACCCCCCCCCCCCCCCCCCCCCCCCGCCCTCCTGTGGAAACATCCCTTCAATGGCTGCAGGCCCACCCAGCCTCCTACCCTTATCCATCTGGGTATTCACCACAGGCACCGAGTGTCCCCCCAGATGCGCTCCTCTGCCCAGCCAGTCTGGGCCATCTGTACATCTGTGCGACTGGGATGCCAGGATCCAGACCCCCTCTTCTACCCTGCCAGGCTCCAGTGCCGTCCAGTACCTGGTCTAGGCGTCTTCATGCCCATGCACTGTGTAGAGCTCCCCTTCCCCCTTCAGACATCTGCCTCTCACTGGCAGCCCTCTGGGCTTTCTCCTTAGAGGGTCAGTCTTGGTAGGGCTTACGATCCTGCAGGCTCTGGCCGGATCTTCAGCCTCTGTCTCCCCCACCGGACTGTACCTGCAGGATGGTGCTGTTCTGCATCCCGGGCACACTGTCTGACCACCCCCCCCAACCTGGTGCACTCCCTTGGAGGTGACTGGATGAAGACACTGGCCCTTACGGGATCGCCAGGCACTTTCTCTCCCTCAGACTGGCTGGCTGAGCCTGGGACAGTGGGTGGCTATGGTGTCCGTGGCACCTGCCCCATGGGCTGACGCCAGCGTGTGTCCACAGCTGTGGCTCAGCTTCGCACCCGTGGCCGACATGATTGCCCACCACTTCCTCCTCTCCACCGAGCAGATCAACTGGCTTTCGCGAGTCTACCTCGTGGCGTCCATCCCGTCCGGTGTGGTGGCCATCTGGGTTCTGGATTCTGTTGGGCTCCGCTGGGCAGTGAGTCAGACCCCACATGAGGGTCAGCTCTTGAATGGGGCAGGGTCCTTGAGTGAGGGCTCGAGAGCCATTGCTTCCTCTCTGGGGATCTCCAGGCAGAGCCACTGGGGTGGCAGGGCGGAGGGCAGGGTGCTGGGCCGGGAGTCCGGGCTGGCCAGGCAGCGCTCCAACCCCATCCCTGCAGACCATCGTGTGCGCATGGCTGAACTTTGCCGGGAGTGTGTTCCGAACCTTGCCCTTCATGGTCGGCGGGATCCAGGACCCATTTGCCTTCCTCATGGGTGGGCAGAGCCTCTGTGCCCTGGCCCAGACCCTGGTCATCTTCTCTCCGGCCAAGCTGGCTGCCTTGTGGTTCCCCGAGCACCAGCGAGCCACGGCCAACATGATTGGCACCATGTGTGAGTGGCGGGGGGTGAGGCTGATGGTCTCCCGTGGCTTAGGGAGAGGGTCCTGCCACCTCTGTGCTCCCAGCTCTCAGAGAGCAAAGGGCTCTGCCTGTGGGCTGGGGACCAGGACTGGCCACGGCTGAGCTGACATGTGTCTCCATCTGTCCATCCAGCAAACCCCCTGGGCATCCTGGTGGCCAACCTGCTGTCACCTGCCCTGGTGAAGAAGGAGGAGGACATCCCCATGATGGTGAGGGAGCTCATGAGGTACAGGCACACGCGTGTGCCTTTGTGTGGGGTGTGTGTGTGGGGGCATGATGGGCTCGCGTGTGCACACACATGTGTACGTGAGTGTTTGTGTGGAATGTGTGCACGAGCCAGTGTGAGTATGCACCTGCCCCTCCCTGTGGCCACACCAGCAAGTGGCCCCGGTGCACGCGGGATTTCTCCACATGTGCGAGTCCTAGGCACCTCGTCAGACACAGCTCTAGGGACCAGGATGTTGGTTTCCTTGGTGGGGAGAGGCCTTTGGTGAGCTGAGGGGCTGACTGGAGCAGGAGGCAGTGTTTATGGGGCGGACCGGAGAGGGAGACGAGGGACCAACAAAAGCCCTGAGGTGGATGTGAGGTTGAGGGGTAGGGGTTGCAGCCAGAGGCCAGCGTGTCTGCCGTGGAGGGAAGGGTCAGCCAGGTGGTAGGTGGTTGCCATTGATGTGATGGAAACCCCGGGGGTGTCTAGGGGGAGAGCGATTCAACCTGGCCCAAAGACTCGGGGAGCCAAAGACGCGGTTGCAGCGTCCAGGCGGGGCGTTGGGACTTCGGTTGGGTGGGGCGGGGGCGGGGGGAGCTCAGGCCAGGTTGGGAGAGGCGAGGGGCTTCCAGCTGTGCAGCCAGGTAAGTGTTGGGGTCATTCACAAAGGCAGGAAGGAAGGTTCAGTTGGCAGGCGGATGGGTGAGTCTGGGGCTAAGGTTGTCACCGAGGAAGTCATCTCTGGGTGACATTTCGAAAGCCAGGGCTCCGGATGAAGCAAAGCCGAGCAGACCCCCCGGCTTGCCTTTGTCTGCCTAGGGATGGCCGGTGGGGGTGGCTAGCAAGGGGGGCCGTGTGCCACCTGGTGCCCAGAGCGGCGGACGTGAAGCCCTCGTGTGCATGTGCACGTGTTTGCGAGGGCCTGCGCACGCACACATACTCGTGTGCTCGCAGACACACTTGCACACGCACGCACACTCACGTGCACCCTCTCCCCAGCTGGGCATCTATATCATCCCTGCCGGCATCACCTGCCTGCTGGCCACCGCCTGCCTCTTGGAGAGCGTGCCCCCCACCCCACCTTCCGCCAGGGCCATCCACTCCACCTCAGAGAAGTTCCTGGATGGGCTGAAGCTGGTCGGTGCCGTGGGATCCCGGGCTGGGGTCATCGGGGTGGGGAGGAGCTGAGGAGGGAAGGGGGTCAGGACAGGCCCTGTCGGAGCCTCTGCATGTCCTGCGGGAGCTCCTGTGCTGAGCGGCGCCTTCTCCCCCAGCTCTCGTGTAACAGAGCCTATGTCGTCCTGGCCGTGTGTTTCGGGGGCGGCATCGGCATCTTCTCCAGCTTCTCGGCCCTCCTGGAGCAGGTCCTTTGTGTGAGGGGCTACTCCAACGTGAGTGCTGCCCCACCCTGGCCCTTTCTCCTGCTCAAGGGTGGGGCTTGGGGGCCATTACTGTCACCCTGAAGGCCGTCTGCCTCTGCCTCGGTCAGGTGGCCCAGGACCTCCCCAGTGCTGCATTTCCACACCTAGACAGGGTAACCTCCTGTTGTGGGTGGTATTGAGATGCCGTGTGTGAAAAGTTGTGTCAGGTGCCAAATACAGTCTGAGGATGAGTGGTGGCCCTGAGGAGGGGATGGTGGCGGTGCCCAAGTGGCCTGGGATTTTGTGTGTGCTTTCCGCTATCTTTCCCAGTGTCCCACCCAGGATGGCTTCCACCCTGAAGGGCCGAAGGGTCCTCTTCTGATATTTGGAGATTGGAAAGGCCTTGCTCTGCTCATAGCATCTCTGGCCAAGCCCTCCCCCGTCTGGCATCAGCCCTGGGTGTGGGATTCAGGCCTGGCATGTTCCCAGCTCATGAGGGGCCCGTGGGCACTGAAGGGTGTCTACAGCAACCAGGCCCTTGCCTTTAGCAACTGTTGAGTTCCCGGGCCATGGCGACACAGGAAAGCGGCGCCTCCAGTGGAGGACATGCTACCCCTCGCTCATAGCTGATCCTACAGCTGAGCCTTCCCTGTCACCCTGCCATGGGCCTCTTGGTGATGGTGTGTGTCTTGAAGGTGAGTGCCTCCTCCTGGGGCCCCGGTGTCACTGTGCCCCAATGATGGGGTGCCCCCCACCCCCTCTTCCCCTCCAGGAATTTATAGGCCTTTGCGGGGCTCTCTTCATTGTGTTTGGGGTCCTGGGGGCCCTGGTTCTCAGCCTGTATGTGGACCGGACCAAGCTCTTCACCGAAGCTGTCAAGATTGGCTTCTGTCTGACCTCCGTGGTCTGTGTGGCCTTTGCTCTGGTGAGAGTCCCCTCGAACCAAGACTACCCTACAGTGGTGGGAGTGGGGTGCTCTGGGGCAGGGCAGCTGGCAACTGGGTCAAAGCAGAAATTTCGACCTTCTGCCCACTGGAGTGGTCCCTGGGTGGGATGGGCTCCCCGGTCCCCTGACCCTGTCCCCTGCTCAGCTCAGACAGGGTGCTGGTCCAGGGCCTGGCTGGGTCTGGGTGTCCCATCCCTCTGTGTGGCTCACTGCCCCCTAGGTGTCTCAGCTGCAGGGACAGACCCTCGCGCTGGCTGCCATCTGCTCACTGCTTGGCCTCTTTGGTTTCGCGGTGGCACCCATTGCCATGGAGCTGGCCGTTGAGTGCTCCTTCCCTGCGGGTGAGGGTGCGGCTGCGGGCCTGATCTTCGTGCTGGGGTGAGTGTCGGTCCCTCTGCCACCTCCCTGGGACCCCAGAGACCCTCCCCTCACCCCACTCCAGGCTACACAGTGGGTCACCTGCACGTTCTGAGCTGCGTGCAGTCCTAGGCTGGCTGCTGGGGTCCACACTGACCGGAACAGCACGCTGCCCTCAGAATGACCGATGGCACCGAGAGCAGTGGGCGGTGCCTGGGGCAGGGCTGAAGGCCTCGTGGCTGTCTAGGCAGGCCGAGGGCGTGCTCATCATGGCCCTGCTGACTGCCCTGACCGTGCGCCGTGCGGAGCCGTCTGTCTCCACCTGCCGGGATGGCCAGGGCCCACTGGACTGGCAGGGTGAGTGCCCCGGCCTGCATGGGACCTCAGGGCCTAGCCCCCCCACCTCCGGCCCTGGAAACTCCCTTCCACGGGCCCCTTCCTCTCGGCATCTTTTGCTCTCCTTGGCACGTGCAGGGCACGCACAGGGCTAGGGCGGGGTAGAGTTGGAGGGCAACAAGGCCGACCTTTCCCCACCAAGGCTTAGGATGGTGGGAGCAGCCCTGAGGCCCTGATGAAAGCTCAACTTTTAAGCCCCCGTGAGTTGTTTAAAAATGAGATCAGGGAAAGAGAGAGCGAGGCAAAGAGAGGAAAGAGAGAGAGAGACAGAGATGAGGATGGCCACGTCCAGGGACCCCATGCCGTTGACCTTGGATCTCACCACACCTGGGTCTGTGAACATGCCCTCAGGGCCCGTTGGATGCTGGGCAAGATCTGTTTCCAGGTCACTCTCTGGTCGTGGCCAGTGGGGTCCGCGGGGGCTCTGCCAGCCGTGTGGCTACTCTGGGTCCTGTGTGGGGAGCTTGGCTGCTTGGGCGAGCCTCAGAACAGAGCTGGGTTGTGTCTCCCCAGTGTCCATGCTGCTGATGGCTGGCCTCTGCACCCTCTTCAGCTGCTTCCTGGTTCTCTTCTTCCACACACCATACCGGCGCCTCCAGGCTGAGGCCAGTGCGAGCTGCTCCATCCAGGAGGACATGTCCCCTGTGACCGTGGACCGCGAACCCCACCCGGCAGCCACCCCCTGAGGCATCCACACGACCTCCGGCACTGGCGCCCTAGGAAGCTCGGGGCCACTCATCCCTAGAGCTGTTCTCCTGGCCCCGCCTTCTTGTTCCTGGGAGCCCTGAGCCCCTGGAACCCTCAGGACTTGCAGAGATGTCACAAGGGTCCCTGACGAGATCTGGAAGCTAAGAGAGCAGTTAGCGCATCAAGAAGTGGTTCTGGGGACATGAAGGGGAGGCCAGGAGAGACAGGCTTTGGTCACAGGGTGACAGCTTCATGCAGGTGCCGGGGGGACTTGGGGCAAGGCAGGGTGGCCCAGAGAGGACCCTGTGGCTGTGGCAAGAACTGCTGGTGCCGTGCGACAAGCAGACACCCCAGTGGCCAGGCCAGACCCAGGGTGGCTGGTGCTGGAGCAGCGTGTGGGAGTGGACCTAGCAAGAGAGACAAGAGCCGAGGGGGACATGGAGGGATTGGGGGCCCTGGGGGCCCCTAGCATGACCGAGTCTGGAATCGACAGTTGTGAGAAAGGCCGTGTTTGGGGGCTCTTAACCCGTAGCTTTACTCAACCTCTGCTGACCACTGAGTGGCCTAATGCCCTGGGATGAGTGCTAGCACAGTGGGGGG